CTTATGGAAAAACAATTACTGGAAAATAAGTCTAATTCTAGTACCTAAACTCATAAGTATTAAGGAAATAGCTACTAATGAACTTTTGTTAAGGACTTACTATACTATGTTATATATACATTATAGATATACAATAATTCTGCAAAATGCATTATCACTATTCCCATCTTATAGATAAAAAGATGAGGTTAAGAAGCACATCCAAGCTATTAGAAGATAAAGAGATGATCCATCATGTCTATTTAATCTAGTACTGTACCCATGTTCTTTCTACCCTATCACACTGTTTCATGTAGGAATTTGATCTCTGGATAAAAGAGGAAATATTTTCATTTTGAAGATGCTGCAATTATTTTACACTCCAGGTCCACTAACACAGTATAGTGATGCTTATATTATTTTCATAGTGGTGCATTCATTCATTCAACTGTTATTTCTTGAGTGTCTGTTACCTGCCAGGCACTGTTCCAAATCCTGAGGATAAATTAGTAAACAAAACAAAAGCTCCCTACCATCTCCTTTATCTATTCCACAGGACTCAATCCTAAACACTTAATAAAGAAAATCTTCAAATAGCAGGGACAGGGCTGCAACATGTTACAATGATATGATCCAGGATGAACATGAAAAGCAACTTCAAGCCAGGAATGATGGTACGTGTCTGTAATCCCAGAACTCAGGGAAGCTGAGGCAGGAGGATCACAATTTCGAGGCTAGCCTAGGCACCTTCGTGATAGCCTGTCTCAAAATAAAATATAAGAAAGGCTGGGAATGTAGCTCAGTATGAAGGCCCTGTTTCAATACCGATACTGAAGGAGGGTAGGGAGCAACTTGGAAAAATATCAGCATTCCTACAGAAAATGGAAAAAACTTCATAAAATATAACATCCTATACCTATGCCTCTTCCCTTCTCCTGCAGCTTATGTCTTCATTTTCCAAAAAAAAAGTTACTATCTTAACAAAATGAATACAACTTCTTGTAAACATCAAAAGATAACTTGCACTCTTCCTAAACTCTCTTCTTCAATAAATAAATGTCAGTGTATGAAGTAGTAATAAATTTCTGCTTAATTTCTTTAATACAAACTAGAAGGTGCTGCAGCTTAGAAAATTGAAGAATGCAAGAACTAGGTAAGGAAAAAAAACAATTCTGCAGAGTAATGTGAGAGTGCTAAGAATTTCACTTATTTTTCTACCACCTGCTTGCAAGTGCTTTCATTCTGCAAGCAAAAGAAAATCCCTTCCGTGAAGCTCTAGACAACCTCCTTCTCTTCTCCTTAACAACCCTTAGTTATCCCTTCTGGTCCACATCCTGCTTTACCACATTATTCAAAAAAAAGCAACACACAAATATGCTCTACTGTGGCCATCTCAGAAATAAAGGAAAACCTGACTTGATCCCCTCATGCCCTCCAAGTACTTCTCCACTTCTGTTTACTCTTCATAGTAAGACGTCTCATCTCAGCTCATCTTTACATGCCATTTCCTTGCTTTTTTTCAATCAAGCTTCAGTCTTTCCTGGACATCATCGACAACTGTTCTTGTCCAGGTCACCAATGACTTTGGTATGGCTTTGTCTGTTATTTACAAGGACCCCCATCCTACACAGCATTGTAAAGCACAACTTCTCAAAGCACTGTTGCTTCTCTGCTACTATAATTCTACTCTTCTCATTTTCCTTCTTCTCTAACCAATCCTCAAGCTCTTCTGCTGCCTCCTCCAGGATCATACAAATTCTAAAGCTTAGAAATGGTGCCAGGTTTTCTTCTTTATGTCCTCATACACATTTGACAATCTCTTCCTAGTCAATGTCATACAAACCCAGAGCTATAAATACTATCAATGATTATGAAGACTAATTCCCTGCATGCCAGACTCAAATGCCCAGCTATTCATTTGGAATCTCCATTTTAATGCTACAAAAGAGCTTGAGGAAAAACCCAGCTCTCCACAGACTTCCCCACCTCAGTAGTACACAACCAACTAAAACAAGTATTTAGAAGCCATCACTGATGACTCCCACAACCCTCATCCATCCATTACCTACTCCTATTGAGTCTACGCTATCATATTATCTTGAAATCCAGCACTTCATTTTTCACTGCCATGATCCTAGTAAAAGCCACCTTGACAACTGCAGTTGCCTATAAATTGTCTCTTTCCATACTAGGAAATCCATTTTCTGCACAACAGACATATTTTAAAAGACAAGGAAAATTACAATTCTACTTAAAGTCTTTCACTAGCTCCCTAAATCATAAAATCCAAACTCCTTTCTGGGATTTACAAAGCCTTGCAAGATCTAATCCATACTTACCACTTCATCTTCTCTTTACTCATACTCTCTCTAATAACTCCTAATTCACCAAAGATTCCAGTCTCAGTATCTTTTCAAGTGCTATCAACTTGCCCAGAGGAGATTCCGCACAACTGCTTCTCATTTCTCATATCTTAGTATAAAAGTCACCAGTACACAAAGATCTTTTTCTAATCATTACATTGATTAGAAAAGACTCTCATACCACTTAGATTCCCTGCCTAGCATTTATCTCAATTACTAGATTCTATTTCTTTCTTTATTGGCTTACTCTCTACCTTCCTGCAATATAAGCTTTACCTTTATTTCGTTTGTATATAATAGTGCCAACATATATTGTAGAATGAACGGCAGAAAGAACAAATCAGGGTGGAGAAAGGAAAGCAAAGAGAGAACACATTTCAAAACTATACCTAGGTTTCCACCGTTTTATAATACCGATTTTTCCATACTGTAAGTGAAAAGCAGAGGTTTCCCCAGTGACTATACTGAGCCTGACAATGACATTCTATATTTAATTTCACCTAAAGTACAGCTCTAGCAATAATGTGTTTATTTTATACTCAATGCATTTCTCCTGGAAGTTCAAATTAAGTTATTAGTACTTGGGGAGTGATTGGTAGACACTTAAATTTGCCAGTGCAAGTTCAGGGAAAATTTTGCTTAAAAGAGCGTCAAAAGGAAAAAAATAATACAAAATCCAAGGATTTTACAACTAAACTCATTAAAAATAATGCCTCTAGACTAGCAAAATATTAATGCTAGGTGATTAGTAAATGGAGGTTTATTACCTCTACTTTTTATGTATGTTTAAATTTTTCCATAGTAAAAAGTTAAATGAATTAAAAATTATTTCTAAGAAGTCAAAAGAAAATACGTGTCTCTAGATCACAGACACATTCCCGACAAGTACACTCAGTTGTCATTCAGAGATTTAATTTAAATGCGCTGATAACAATTCCTACTGGTGTCTTAGGGACGTATGAGAGTATCAGAGGACACAGGGAAAAAGGACTGTGCTCTCACCTGCCCTGAGTCATAGCGTTCCACCCTATCCCCTTTCTATGGGGATCTATAATTTTAAAAAGCTCAAAAACAGTGACTTCAGGGAGGAATAAGATCACTTAAAAGAGGAAAGGGATAAAAGTGTACAAAGGAAGAAAATATATTATTTTCGCTTAAATTCAAGCAGAGCATTTTCCACTAGAATTGTGATGAGCTAATACTCCTAACACAACACTTCAAATTCAGGAAGGGATTTACAGAAGACTTCATGAAAATACACCAAAGGCCAGCACTCTCAGCCAATAAAGTCCTTCCTCTTGGGATTCCTTGCAGTACTCCAGACTTTCTCTACAACATTAAATAAAATGTTATGGCTGTTAGTGATTAAAGAGTGAAAGCCCTTGTTTACTAGGTAATACAAAGAACAGAAGAATTTAAAATACTTTGGCAAACATTTTACCTTTTTGCTACAAAAACAATCGAGTCTACAGGGAAACAAAAAATAATAGCTTATTTTCAATTTGTTTAGATTAAAGAACACAGTTTTTTGGGCTGGGGATTTAGCTCAGTGGTCCTGCCACCTGCCTCATAAGCGCAAGGTCCCAAGTTCGATCCCTAGAACCAAAAAAAAGGACACAGTTTTTAAATTTCCTATTAGGAAATCCAGGGAGCACTGCTAGGTACAATTTTTAAAAATCCAACATAACTTTATAAATGAATCTGTGAACATCATGTGATGGGTCTAAAACAGAACATTAAAAATCTGCTTGTTTATGTTTATAAGCAGCGTAAGAATCATGCTCAGTTAGCATTACAGAAATTCAAAATACTGTAAGTTGATGAATGAAATAAGCTGAAGATACTTTTTAACATTAAAAAGCCTAGGCATTTCAGTTTCTGAGAAAAGTAAAAAGGATGTGAATTTCAGGAAAAATAAATTATAGTAGAACTCTGAATCTGTAAATGTAATCACTGGCATAGGTGTTGCTGTTGTTACTACTGTTGGATTCTCACTATGTTGCTCAGGCTGGTCTCAAGATTCCTAGGCTCAAGTGATCCTCCTGCCTCAGACTCCTCTGTAGGTAGGACTATAGGTGCGGGTCATTGCTTCAAACTTGCTTTACAATGAAACTAAACAAAGCTGAGGATGGGGTCATTTCATTCATTATCAATGACTAACTTCTCATATTCAGGAAACAGACAATCTGAATACCTAGACCAGTGGTGGAGAACCTATGGCACAAGTGCCACAGTAAGCTCGCAGACTCCTTTCTGTCACACACAAGCTAAGTCGCCCCAGCAGAGGAACATCAAATAACAGCACACAAAAGCATGTCAAATGCAAACTTTCACCTTTCAATAAAAAGCTGTTTGTATCACTGAAAGCTCTGTTATTGTGTTTTTCTTTTAAGACAAAAGATGTTAATGTATGAGTTGTTTTTTCTAAACTAAAACCTCAGCATTCAGGTTTAATTGCAGTGCTGGCACCTTGCGATAAATAAGTGAGTTTGGGGTTGCACGCTGGGCACTCAAAAAAGGTCTCTTAAAAAGGTTCACTATCACTGTCCTAGACCAATCTTAACTGATGCAAGGAAGTAGGGGAAAGGGCAGAGAGAAAAGATGTACCAATTTCTACCATTTTCACTTCTTGTTTTGTTTAATGAGGCAGAGCCTTACCATGTGGTTTGGGCTGGCCTTGAACTCACTATGTATGGCTGGCTGGGCTGCCTCAAGCTTCTGGGGATCCTCCTGCCTCCGTCTCTGCAGTGCTGGGATTACAGTCGTTTGCCACCACGCCGGGCTCTCTCACTCTAGCTTGAGAAAACAAAGATAGTACCATTCAGAACGTGGATAAGTAAAACATGGTATAGACATACAATGAAATATTATTCATCTTTAAAAAGGAAGTTAATTCTGACACATGCTAAAACATCAATGAACCTTGTTACATTAAATCAGTCAGTCACAAAAAGATGAATACTGTAGTATATATGACTCCAATTACAGGGGGTACCTATAGTAGTCAAATTTCATGAAGACAAAAAGTAGTAGGGTGGCTTCCTGGAGCAGTGGCAGGGAGGGAAGAGAGAAAGGAGGAGTTTCTTGTTAATGGGTATGATGGCTTTTCAGTTTTATAAGATGAAAAAAGTTACAGACATGGATGGTAGTGATAGCTGCACAATATGAACCTATTTAATACCACTGAACTGTACACTTAAAATGGTTAAAATGGTAAATTTTATAATAAGAACTGAGAAAATAAAATGTTGCCACTTCTAATTTTAATATAAGCTTACTAACGACAGGTTCATACTATAAACTGGGATAAGCACTAAACATGAATGCAGTTGGTAATCACAGGTTTAGGTTTTAGTGTTCTTATTCATAAAATAAGAAAGAAAAGAGAAAAGGAACAACTCAATACTGGCAGCAAATCCCGGAGGACTGGAGCACTAGGGATGGTGTGAGTAGCAAAGACAAGACCACTAAACTGGAGCTCCCACACAAGCCTTTAAATGACAGCATGGCCCTGAGTAAAGATTTTCTAATCATATCAGAAGAGGCCAGTATGATCCTTTAGGTGACAGAGATCTAATCTGGGACATGACTGAGCTGTAACACAGATTTACTGAATGTAAGGAAATGAGCACTTAATCACACTAAAAGATCATGGCCACAAGTGGAGATATTCTTGATGTGTGCCATTTCAAGAAGCTGAGTTTAGTTTTGTGGTTCAACACATGACTAGCCGAACTGGAATTTAATCCTTAGTGCTTTTTTTTTTTTTTTTCCAGTAATGAGGACTGAATCCAGGGCCTTTACACCCAGCTATATCCCCACCCCTTTCTTATTTTTTATTTTGAGAAAGGATCTCCATAACTCATAAAAATGACCAGGCTGGGCTTGAATTTGTGATCTTTCTGTTTCAACCTTAATCCTTAACTTTTTTACATTTCAGTCACAATCTAAAATATTGTCCTGTGCTATTATTTGGTGTTAACAGCCCGAAGTACTGAGTTTGTCCTCGGTGTAGGTTTACCTCCACACATCAATTAAAGAAATACCAACTGTGCTGCACAGTATACACTGGTACTTAGCTCCACCTACCCTTCTATCCTCTCCCCTGAACTACCAGACCTGAAGTCAACACTGCAAACCTCCTTGTCAGCTGTGCTCCCGTCATTCCACAGGAGCACTGGCAAGAGCACAAATTCCCGCCGGGTAACAGCAAACATTAGCAGCAGTGGTGGAAATGGAGTTTATGAAACATCTTTTCCCTTTTGCTCCTTCAGCCCTTCCTTCCTTCTGCAGTCAATTCCTAGAATTACATTATCATATCGATTGTTTTTCTTTTCTTTTTTCTTGGGGTGGGGGGGTATTCTTATGGTGGTACTGGGGATTGAACTCAGGGCGCTCACACAGAGTTATATCCCCAACCCTTTTTAAATTTTTGAGATAGTTTTGCTAAATTGCTCAGGCTACCCTCAAACTTGTGACCCTCCTGCCTCAGCCTGTCAACAGGTGGGATTAAAGGTGTACACTTTCGTGAAGGCTTTACATCCACTTTTGATTCAAGCAGATGGGGTGGACTTCTGACTAGCTCCATCCAACTCACAATTTATATAATTCTTGAGCCATGGAGAGCTATGCTATGCTATGCTATGAGAAATTCATTCACCCACTCACTCAATAAATCTTTACGGAGCAACTATAGGCCAGACCCTGTTCTTGATACTAGAGATATAGCAGGAAACAAACAAAAGCCTCAGTCCTCCAGGAGATTAGATTCCAACAGAGAAGACTGAAAATACACAGGATAAATAAGTAAAACACATATGTGTAAGGTAAGTGCTAAAAAGAGAAAAACAGAAATATGAATGTTAGTTAAAATTTTAGATTTCTAGGTCACTGAAGTGATTTCTGGAAAAAGAGATGGCCCTAATCATGCACATATCCATAGGGGGACTATTCCAAGGAGAGAAAATAGTACGTGCAAGGGCACTAAGGAAGGAGGTCCCTGGGCATGTCGAAGAATACCTGGGTATGGTAGCATATATCTGTAATCCTGCACTCTGGGAGGCTGAGGGAGGAGAATTGCAAGTTTGAGCCCAGCCTGAGTAACTTAGTGAGACCCTCTGAATGAGTGAGAGGATAGATAGATGGATGAATGCAGGGACAGTTAGATAAAATAGATTCGTATATGGCCAGAGTAATTAATAAGGAGAATGCCTGAGAAGTGGGGAGGCCAAGCAGGGGTTGGGAAACTTACAGCCTGCCATAAAGGATTTAGCTACAGCAGTTGATTCTGAGGAGTGACATCACGTGACTTACCTGTTAACAGAGTCCTGCTATGTCACCGGTATACTGTAGGGACAAAGGCAGATGGAGAAACAGCTAGGAAACCCCTTCAACAACCCAAGTGAAAATGAATGACAGCTGAGACCAGAACAATGGCAGGAAGGATTCAGAAATTCTGAATATATTTTCAGCTCCTAGCTGATCCTTAAAAAATTAGGAGATGATTCCTGAATCTTGCTGGAATCCACACAACAGAAATTTCTATGAGATTCCTACCAAGTGAGACTATAATAGCTTTGGCCAAAGATAAATGAATTACAAATTGACATGCTGCAATAATCAATATACAAAAATACTGATATATCCTATACTAGGATTCTGAATTTTTTAGTATCTTACAGAAATATAGTGAAATAGTATAGAAACACAGTAGTATCTATAAATTTAATTTTATTTCATCAAATTAGAGATAAAGTATTATTTTGTCAACAGTATTTCCAGGAGGAAAAATATTATATGCTAATTTTCTAAAAAGCCAACAAGAAAAGTTAGAACAAGAAGTTCTAGTCAATCCTCCATTCCCTTCATTTTTTAAAATTTTTAATTTATTTTATTTATTTTTGTGGGGGAAGGAGACAGGGTCTCTTGCTATGTAGCTCAGGCTGGCCTTGAACTCACTATACAGCCAACCCAAGCTGGCTTCAAACTCGAGGCAATTCTCCTGTCTCAGGCTCCCAGTGCAGGGACTACAAGTGTGTGCCTCTATGCCCAGCTCCTTTCACTTTTAGAACAAGGTAGTAAAGCCCAGATAAAAGCAAAGCCTGGTCCTTCTTTAAGTTTTAAAAATGTTCATTAGGGCCAGGGATTTAGCTCAGTGGTGCCTCTCCTGTCTCTCAAGGTCCTGAGTTCAATCCCCAGTACAAGAGGAAATTAAATTAAATTAAATTGTTCATTACTCTAATACTGTGATGATAATATTTCTAAATTATATTTTTCCCTGTTTTCTTAAAGCAGAGACTTTTAAAGATGCTGTAAGTTTTCCCTCTTAACCCTCATTCTTTCTAGAGAACAACTACACAAGCAGTGTAATGCTAGTCCCTACTAACTACTGCCTGCACTACACAGTCCTAATAGTCTGCTCTTCTCACTTCTAGCTGGCAGCATCTGGCTGGAAGAGTTAAGAGCTGTATATCAGAGCCCGGCCTGGTGGTGCACGCCTGTAATCCCAGCCCTCAGGAGGCTGAGACAGGAGGATCACTGTGAGTTCGAGACCAGCCTGGGCTACATAGTGAGTTCCAGGTCAGTCTCAACTACATAGTGAGACCCTGTCTCAAAAAACCAAGGGAAAAAAAAGAGTTGTGTATCAGCTTCAGTGTAGTTACAGGAAACATGTCAGCACTAGGAAACTGATTTTATTTGCTCTCCATGTTGGCCTGTGTTTTTCATATAGTGCTAAGATTGAGCCTGTGTAAATGGCTGGAGATTTATATATAT